GCCGCCTCCATATTTTAATGTTGTGACTGTGTTCTTTGGAAAGAAATCCTCACCTTTCTTGCACCAAATCCTCTCTACATCTGTTACTACCTGCTCAGGCACATTTGTGTTTCATCAACACCCACATAACCCACATTGCAACTATGCTAAACGGACCTTAATTACAGTTTCTGGGTGAGACTGCATTATCTGATGTGACCAGCAGTTTAAAAAATACCAGTGCACTCCAACCCTCAGTCACAATGACTTGTGACTTTGTGCTAGCACAACTACCAATGGATCCCATCTATCCAGTTTCACTCACAAGGTTTGGGTCAGCCTGTGGTATTTTTTTCAGGCACTTTGCAGTGATGCTGCATGCTTGGATCAAGATGACTTATGGTTGGAATGCAAACATTTTAACAACTTGGCCATGTGACTTTCTATTCCACTACAATTTTTTCTCTTTGTTGATCACACAGCTTTTTTTTTTTTCCTTTTTTCTCCATGTCTATTTCACAGCTTCTTATTCTCTCTCTTTCCTTCTGTTTTCCTTTCTTTTTCTCTTTCTGTTAATCACACCACCACTTTTACTTGTCTCTCATTACTTTTTTCTTTCTTTTTTTTCTCCACACTTTTTTTCTTCTTCTTCTGATTCTTTCTTCTTCTTCTTCTTCTTCTTCTTTTCTTCTTCTTCCCTTTTTTGTTACATTAGTCTCCTTCATTGTGTTTTTTCTTTTCCATTTTCTCTATTTTTCTTTGTATCTCATCCCTTGCTCTTTTTTCCTCTCTTTCCATCACACTCTTTTTTTTTTCATTATTTTTGTTTCTTTTTCTTCTTCTCAAATAGTCAAACTACTAACAGATTTTTTTTCACTTTTTTCTCTTTCTTTCTCTTCGTCTCAAATAGTCAAATTACTAGCAGAGTATACAATCCAATGCAATTTTGACATGATTTATCTTATGATAGTTCTGCTAAATATTGCATAACACAAGACTGGATAGAATCATGGCTGCCAAATTTTCTATGGTTACTAATGAGACCTGGGAGCATGTTTTCAGTACATTAAACAAAATAAATTTAAAAAATTCAGAAAATTTTAATGAGAAGTTTTATTTACAAGGTAAGTACAATGATGAATTGGAAACTTACTTTGTAACCATCAGCTAAACCATGTTTTTATCATTTTGTTTCACTATATAAAAAAAAATGTAGCTGAAAATTTTTAGTGTGGGTTCAGTTAACACTGTAAATATAATGTTAAACGGGACACTGACTTTGTGTTCATCAGTTTACCTATACTGTATTTTCATTATTTTGTTTAACCCTATGGTGTGGATATCTAGTTGAAAATTTCCTAATCAGAAACTAAAGTTTTGCCTTTTTACATAACATTTTAGTGAGGGTTCAATTTACACTGTAAATATAATGTTAAACTGGACCTTGACTTTGTGTTCAGCAGGTAACCTATACTGTATTTTCATTATTTTGTTTAACCTTATGGTGTGGATATCTAGCTGAAAATTTCCTAATCAGAAACCAAAGTTTTGCCATTTTACATAACTTTTTAGTGAGGGTTCAATTTACACTGTAAATATAATGTTAGACTGGACCCTGACTTTGTGTTCAGCAGGTAACCTATACTGTATTTTCATTATTTTGTTTAACCCTATGGTGTGGATATCTAGCTGAAAATTTCTTAATCAGAAACCAAAGTTATGCCTTTTAACATGACTTTTTCATGAGGGTTCAATTTACAGTGTAAGTATAATACTAAACTGGACCCTCACTTTCTGTTCAGCTGCTTATCAAAACTGTAACTTTTTATTTAATCAGATAAAGTAGCAATGGTCTTTTCATGTTATTTCATAAGGGATAAGTTCTCACAAAAACGTTTTGGTGATAGAAATAATAAACAAAATCTACAGCAGTGGGGATATACCAGAAGATCTCAGCAGATCTATCTTCACAGAAATGCCTAAAAAAAAAACAGGCACAAATGAATGGGAACTCCACCAAAGAATCAGCCTAATGAGCCACATAGCAAAAACTCATCATCTGTATTTTAAGAGATAGAACGTGCAGCAGAATCAGGCCAGAGATAGGACAAGAAAAATTTGTTAAAGCCACCAGAACAAGGAATGCAATATTCATGTTCAGAATGTTATCAGAAAGAGCAATACAAATGCAGAAGGACGTGTACCTATGTTTCATAGACTGCGCAAAGGCCTTCAACAAAGTACACCACAAGGATCTGTTGGAACTGCTCAACAACCTTGATATATTTGGGAAAGATATTAGAATAATCAAGAACTTATACTGGCAGCAAACAGTATGCATGTGCATCAAGAGCAAGTTCAGTAAATATGCAAAAATAGAGAGAGGCATAAGGCAAGAATGTGTCTTCTTACCAGACCTATTCAACCTATACAGCAAGGTAATTCTGAGAGAATTGGAAATCCTAATGGGATTCAGCATTGGCGGACACAATCGTAACAACATAAGATACACAGATGACACAATACTGATAGCAGACATGGAAAAGAAACTACAAAACCTCTTACAGAAGGTAGCAAGGGAAAGCAAGAAGAAAGGACTAACCATAAACTACAAGAAGACAGAATGCATGGCCATCAGTAAAAACCCAGAATGCGATTTGCAGGTCAGGGGCACTAAAATCAAGCAGGTGCAGAAGTTTAAATATCTGGGAAGTGTTTTGACAAAGGACGGTAAGTGCAACACTGAGATCCATATTGCGCAATGGGATGACCAAGGGTGAATGCCAAAAGCTGGGCAGAGTATTATGAGACAGGAGGATTTCTTTGGTAACAAAGAAAAGGGTACTGAGCTGTTATATGATATTTGTCCTCTTTTATGGCAGCAAATGTTGAACAGTTTCCTCAAAGATGAATAAGAGACTTGAGACAATGGAGATATAGTTCTATAGAAGGATGCTGAGGATATCATGGACTGAGTGTGTGAGCAACAATGAGGTCATGGAGAGGATGCAAACAAGGAGGAGGCTTATACTTAACATCAGGAAGAGGCAACTGATGTTTCTAGGACTCATAATGAGAAAGGAGGGCTTGGAGAATCTGATACTCACAGGTCGAATAGAGGGGAAAAGAGACAAGAGAAAGCAGACATACCTGGCAGGCTTAAGCAAGTGGATGACAGAACAGGTGGAAGGTGGCAGAGGGACGAAACTTATTGAGAGCTACAAAGGATAGGGGGAAGTGGAGAGCCATGATCACCTATGTCCTGAAAGAACATGGCACATAAAAAGAAAGAAGGATGTAGCTGTATTCATTGAACCACTGCAATGACTAAGCTGGAGAGAACCTATAACTGAAGGGAAAATAATGACATTCATCTAAGAAATTCAGATAACTTAAGAAGTATAGACTCGCCAAAAATTAATAATGAAAAGCCTCAAATACCTTCAGAAGGATAAACTAGTCAAAAATTAATAATGAAAATGCTTCATCTAAGAAATTTAGATAACTTAAGAAGTATAAACTAGTCAAAAATTAATAAAAGCTGCTTGGATATATGTAACTATAGCTTTGATTCCATTGACCATTGAGATCAGCGCCTTTCTTTTGTCTGTAACAAAGAATACAACATACATGTACACTAACTAAAATTTAGCATAGTGTCATTCTATGGCTTTGATTCTGTTGACCATTGAGCTCAGTGCCTTTCTTTCACACACTGACCCCACCATTTGACCCCTTCACTATCATCGACCTCCTGGAACTCTTCACCAACCCCTACTGTGTCACTTGGATCCCATTTGACAACCCTTCTACTAAAGAATGGAGCTTGTTTGAACATTTTCTATGGAAGGGGTGATAAAGTAACAAAAGGCTTCCAGGTTTGTTTCCTGTTGTCGGACACATATTTTCTATTAAATTTCTTCAGCATTCAAGCCAGTAAATGTAATTAATACTGTTTATTATAAACAGAGCATTTGCTTAAATATTTGTATCTATAAAAATAACGTGTAAAAAGAAAATATATTAGAATAAATAGTGTAAATAAACAATCTAATAAATAAATAGTATTTATTATTTTTGTTATAAATTCCTAAGAACAAAGAAAATGTATAATTTGACTTTCATATGTTTAGGTTTTATTACAATTCTAATCATCACTTTTTAAACAATAAACATTGCCAAGGAGTGAAGGTAGTTAAAATATTAGCAGTTTCAATGGAAAAACTGTCTTTTTGAAACCCATTTTTTTTTGCAGGTGTGAAGGTCCAAGTTTGACAATTTTTCCATTTTGTCATTGATTTTCCTAATATCAGAATATAAAGTAAGAGTGACATAAAAAAATTGTACTGCACCATTTACCCTTTATTGATTAGAAATATAAATATTAATGAATTTCTTCTTAGGACAAACATTATACTTGGTTGTTTGTTTGTGTGTGTGTGTGTGTGTTCCTTTATATATGGGATCGGATTTCCTACATTTTTCAACCGATTTCAACAAAACTTCACTTTTTTTTTTTGGCAGGTAGTGTTTCTTATTGTCTTGAACACTTTTTCTTTATTTTTACATTCAGAATGCTTTAAAAATTCCATTTACAAGACAATTGTTTATAATAAAATTCTATTCAATCGGTAGACCCATAACGATTGAAAACAATGTTTTTGTTTGAGTTTGGGTTTGACCAATTCGTAAAAAAAAAAAAAAAAAAAAAACTCTAATTAAGACATGCGTGTCCGTCAACCTTAAACAATAATCTTTGTCAATTTTATTTTTCAGTCTTTATGATGGTCGATACTTGATCTATCTCTTACTGTTACATCCCCGGGCAACACCGGGCTCTACTTCTAGTAAAATAATAAAAATAATGAAAAATGTATCAACCTGCATTGTTGGGATAAAATTGCTTGGTTGATTTTGTTTAGTGGCAAATCAGCACCTCTATAGGTTATTTAATACCAAAATCTTAATATTTGGAACATAATTTCATGGTTTCAACTAAATATATTTTGAATGCAATTGTATGCCTTCAGCTAGAGATAAAATGTATTGTTGGTAATTCTAATATAAAATGTATTGTTGGTCATTTTACTATAAATATGTATTACTGATATTATTACTATAAAAATGTATTTTTATACTTTCATAGGGTTTTGTTTATTTTTGAGGTTCACTATTTACTAGCTAGGACCCTAACAGGTACTACCACCCTGATCAGGGTGGTCTTGAGAACACCAACAATTAAGAGGTGGTTCAATACTCCTCAAAGCATCCAATCTTCCAATCAGAGTCTTTTCTGCCTAATGTAGTTTACAGTCATACCCAGGACTTGGGATAAAAAGCAACAACTAGAAAGAATAAACCTATTAATAAAAAAATAGTAATAATGAAAAGTGTATTAGACTAGTTTGTTGCGATAAAAAGTAGTACTAGTAATACAGAATATAACAAGTAAAATAATGATAAAGATTGTTGTAATAAAAAGCAAGAATAAAACAGAAAAAAAAAACAATAATTTATAGTAATATTGAAGAATGTATTCAACCACAGTGTTGTGATAAAAAAGCAACTTGGAAGACTAAATAAAACAAGTAATAAGATAATAGTTATAATGACGTGTGTACCAGTCCAAAGTATTATGAAAAAAACACTTGTGGGAACACTGTTATTATTATAGATTAAAATAATAATAATGATGAAAATTATAAACAAAATAAAATTTAAACCTTGTTTAAAACAAATAAATAAAAAAAAAATAAAAATAATAAAATCACTCCCAGCATGCAACAGGGACTGTTCCTGTTGGAAATATGAACATCCTGCCAAGCGATGTGAGATTCAATCTCTTCACCCAAGGACTTTCATGATAACAACATGTGTATAACTTTCCACTGTGATATGACTTGTGATATTACAGAGTGACTCACTCTTTTCTATAACATGAACCTTATCA